TATGTATGTTATGTATGTATGTTATGTATGTATGTTATGTATGTATGTTATGTATGTATTGTTATGTATGTATTGTTATGTATGTATGTATGTATGTTATGCATGTTATGTATGTTATGCATGTTATGTATGTATGTTCCATGACATTACTGATTTATTGTTTCAGCTGGTACAGAGCCAACTACAGCATGGCGCAGAGACTGGACTGGGGCCGGGGGAAGGGCTGCGATTTTGTCATGAAGAGCTGTAAATTTTGGATTGATCAGCAGAGCAGGAGGTACGGACGTGATGCGATATACACATGTGGTTTGTGCTGCACCGTCTCTGTGCGTATCAGGAGATAATTGATGGGACTTTCTCTGCAGGAATCGCAGTGTCAGCCCCTTCTGCCACACACTCAGGAGTAACCCTTTAAAACTGGCCTGCAGGCAAGACCAGAGAGCTGTGGCAATATGTAATCTGCAGAGGTTTCCCCAGCGACTCCCTCAGGAGTATCAGGTATATGTCTTTTACTGTGGACAAGTAGTTTGCATCGCCACCCTGCAGAGCATGGGGGGGGGATGTATAAAGACCCGGCACGGGAGGGATGTATAAAGACCCGGCAGGGGAGGGATGTATAAAGACCCGGCGTGGGAAAGGATTTTGTATCGCCATATGACATCATGTCTTGTGTAGCTGGTGTGACAATTCTGTTTCCTGTCTCTGGTGTTCAGTACTTTGATGCCATCCCCGGGGTTCCCCCTAAAGACCTGCCACACTACGGAGGTGCAGTTGAGATAGCCGACTTTTGCCCCTTCACACAGGAATTCAGTTGGCATCTGAGCGGAGAGTTCCAGCGCAGCTCGGACTGTACATTGGCGCAGAATCAGCCAGGTGGGTTTGGCAATGTGAAGCATGTGTCCTCGCCCAATAATTGTATCCGTGTCTCTCAGTGAATCTGTCTGACCGCTTTACTGTGCTCCTCTGTCGGGCGGCTCCTCTGTCGGGCGGCTCCTCTGTCGGGCGGCTCCTCTCTCATTGAGCAGTTCGTGCAGCTCACCATTCCGGGTCTATACTCTCACACAGACTTGTTGATGAAACGTGTCTTTGCTCTCTAGCTTCTTCCAGGAATTACGGTGCGGAGCGTTATGGGCCGGACTCTGCTTGTCTGGAACAGCGATCGGCCTTTGTCATGGAGCAATGTATGAAACGTATGAGTTACCCGGACTGGGGCAGCGGCTGTTACCAGGTAATGTTCTGGTTGTATTGTGTGCGCTGGGCGGGGGAAAGGCTTCCAGTGGCCCATCGTGGTCATCCGTTGGAGGTCTTCCTTTTATCGGTGGTCCATTGACTTGGGTCTTGTCTGTGATCTCAGCTGATTGTCTTGTTGACCTTCCTCGTGTCTGTCCTCTCAGGTGAGCTGCTGCTCTGATGGCCTCCAAGTCTGGGTGGAAGACTCTCCGTACCTGTGTTCCCAGGCTGGCCAGATACTCGCCGTCCGTGCCAACATCAACGGCTGGTTTTATGAGGGGCATCTAGTGTGCCCATCCTGCTCGGACTTCTGTGACATGTGCCCACCTGAGCGAGAGCCACCACCAGACAATGGGACCAGACTGGCCCCAATAGGTACCTTCATTTATTGATATATATCTATACCGGGGGAAGGCACAAAGTATCAAGACTGAGGGGAAGGAAATCTTATATACTTCCATCCAGGGGCGTAACTAGAAATCACAGGGCCCCATAGCAACATTTTGTATGGGGCCCCGTGATTGCTAGTTATGCCACTTGCAGAGCCCACCTGAGAGTGACCCTGCAGAGCCCGCCAAAGACTCTCTATAGTGGGCTCTGCAGGGTCTCAGATGGGCTGCACACCTCGTACCTGTCAATCGCAGGGGCTGTGTCAGTGACAGCCAGCACCCTGATTTGCCATAGCGACCCAGGCGGCTCGCACGGCATCAGAGGGATGCCCTGGCCGGGCCCCCCTGTGCCTGGGCCCCATAGCGGCCGCCTGGGTCGCTATGGCGATTGTTACGCCACTGCTTCCATCATAAACACATTTAGCATTGTAATTATAGTTGTGATACCGCAGAGGAGAGTCAGACGGGTTTTACAGGAACTGTTCAGCTAATCCCATCAGGAAATAATGAAGCAGCGCCCTCAAGCTGTCAAAAGGCAGTACTGCGATAGTGGACCCAACACTACAAGTCTGAGTGGGCTGGCTTTCCTCAAAGGATGGCCAGCTCACACCAATGTCCGCACATGTGCAACTGTCTCCCAGTAGTACCATATTGTGGTGGTGGTTGTGCAATGCGATGACTGCACCACTGGGGACATTGCGGTGCCTGCACAGAGTGATAGGACTACACCGCCGGGGACATTGTGGTGCCTGCACTGCACAGTGATAGGACTACACCGCCGGAGACATTGTGGTGCCTGCACTGCACAGTGATAGGACTACACCGCCGGGGACATTGTGGTGCCTGCACTGCACAGAGTGATAGGACTACACCACCGGGGACATTGTGGTGCCTGCACAGAGTGATAGGACTACACTGCCGGGGACCGGTATATTGATCTGTCACATTGTATTGGGAAGCCTTTCTTTCCTTGGTTCAGAGTGCCGCCATGTTCCGTGACTCCAGTACAGGAAACGCGCCATCCTTGGAGCGCGCTGCGCATACCGTTGGCGCGATATATAAATCCTGAATAATAATCTCTTCCTCGTCTCCTTCCAGATCTCTGCTCTCGATCCTCCAACTTGGTGGTCACCTTGTGGCTTCTAATGCTGAACTTGCTCCCCCTGCTGGCCGGGTTCTTCCTCTGCGTCTATCAGTGATGGAGCTCATGCTGCTGTACCTTGCTCTGGATCAGAGTGTCTCAATCATTGTGAGTGGCCCGGAAGTGCTGAATCCTGCAGCCAGGGCCGTGTTTACTATTCTTTCAGCTGCTCGTGCGGATGTATGGATCGGGAGATGAGGACAGCCGTGTTCTGTTATCAATCAATGTATAAAGGAAGGAAGCAGTACCCCCCCATCCCCCACCCTCCATATGACGTCCTCACCGCGCCATGTGACGCTACATTCCTTTGTATAGTGATGCCGAAATGCCGTCACCGTGACCACCGTGAGCGGTTCTCTTCATCATGTGATCTGTATTATTATTATTATGTCTTTATGCACCGTGCACTGAACGAGGAGCCCCGTTTCCTGTCCTGAGATGGATAATTCCTCGAAGAGTGCAGATTAATTTATTAATTTTTTTTTTATGTTCTCCGGTAAACGAATGTAAATATTTGTATGACTCCAGAGACTGCGGAACGAATTGTGAAATGTTGTATTAGTTGTGCGTTCTCTCCGTCCTGTGTGTGTGAGGCGACTGCGCTTCTATGTTTTTGGAGTATTTTTACGTGTTAGGCCTCATTCAGGAGTCGGCCGGCACCGGGAGCTTTACATTCAATCGGTCCAGTGTCTCGAGGCGCCCGATCGCTTGTATTAGCAGCTGTCACTGCCGGTCCCGAGATCCGCTGTGCTCGATGCGGCCGGGACCGGCACGGCTCTGTGACGGGAGATCAGTATACGATTTGGACGGGGGAGGGGGCGGGTACAGCTGGCTCTGCCTCTAGATGGGCGGAGCCAACTGTCACTCACGCAGCTGGGCGGATCCAGACAGCATTGTCGGGATCCATCCCGGCTGCGGCATCTCGGTATACCGCGAGCTGTAGCTCTCTATATACTGAGCCTAGGGTGACGGGAGGACGCTAGTTTGTGTCCTCCCGTTACCCTAAGGAGAACTATGGGGAAAAGCCCTGACCACATAGTTCTCCTTTAAGAAGTAAGGTGCAGGGATGTCCAGCCGCTGGGAGGAGGGAGAGATCAGAGTGCCGGGGATGAGCAGTCTGTCTGTACTCTGAGCATTGTGTGTCTTCAGTGAGCTGATCTGTGTTGTATCCAGGGATAGTGAGTATTATTGATATTCTGTATTTGCATGGCACCAACATAGTCCGTGGTGGAGGAATATGCTTCTGGGCGGTGTGCGGCGTTACTGTCCTACCCTCAGAGAGGTTTCCTGCTGGTTTTGGTTCAGAATCTGAGATATGACACCAGATGTCAGTGGAATCGAGTAGACTGACAGTTCCCTCCTGGTTGCTGCCCCCCTGTGCACCCTCCTGGTTGCTGCCCCCCCCCTGTGCACCCTCCTGGTTGACCATACACTGCAGCCGCCATTACTCCCTGCAGTGCTCGGGATGAGTTTGGTGAATGTTGTGATCCCGGTTGGTGTGACGAGTGAATGTGTCTGACTTTGCTGTGCATGCTGGGAGAGCGGATGCCGGTGAATCGTCTTTGTGTGTCGCCATCTACATGAGCTACCTCAGTATTCCAGCTGTGATTGGTCCTCTGTATCTTCGGGGGATCCGCAGATAACAGGGTGACGTCATTTCCTTTCTCTGCTGTGAGGGATCCTCTACGACCTCCAATGTCCTCTACCTGCATGTT